TTTACACAAACTTTTCAATTCCCAAAAGCAACAATATGAATTGAAGTACCTTTCAATGACTGTCTCACCTGTCAAATACAAAAACTTCTTACAAGTCAAAAAAACAAATTGCTGAGAAACAAGAGTTTAGAGGACAAAATTTTTAACTTGACCACAGAATCTAATTCGTTACAAAAGGCCATATATCACCATCCTCAGAAGGAAATTCAAATATAATGGTCAATGTAGACGCTTTTGCTCATTACGCATCACTGCACCCTGACCCACACTTCAATGCTTGTTACGCATACACAACGCTCTATGAACATTCGATAGCAAAACTCCGATCAACCGAAACCCTTGTTACATACCACAAAAGAGAACGTATACACTGAAAAAATCACATAATGTCATTTACATAACATAAAACACAAACCTAGAGTCTCACATGCTCCATGGACATATGGACAAGTTGAAGGTATGAACTGTTCATTACAAGAATACCGCCGATGTATAATTAACGGAAATGATGAAAAGTTTACTGAATGGTAAACAGACGTGAAGTTCTTTCAGTAACATTTGGATTATCACATTTCGAAAAGGTTTTTTAACCAAAAGCCACGGAAATCAAAAATGTTCAGGGCAAAATTATCAAAAAAATGCACAAGGACGTTGGCAACCAAGCGAAGACTCAGTTTACTAGAACTTACCAATCTATGCTCATGATTAAAACGTTTTCATCACCCACAAATCTTAAATTTGCCTTCGGTACCCAGACGGAATGGACTTAAAGTAGAGATAGAAAAAAAACACATAAAATTTTCTCTAAAAATTGCGAAGAAACTAATGCAAAGACAAAATATTCAGTCTGAAGTAAAAATCACTCCTAACAGCAGCTTCAGACTTCAAAAAAGGAGCTTTTGTTTCATTTCTTAGTTTTACAATACAAAAAAGAAATTCACAAAAAAAGTACAACCCATTAAAAAAGGAACAAATAAATCAAAAAAACTGCAAGCGTTACAAACACATTATTTGAACAAAACAAAAAAGAAAAACACAACCAAGAAATAATTTTTTACCATATTACCCAAAAGAATTCGCTAATCGCGAGCTAACAGAATTATACTCTTTGAAAGTATTACACATTGTTGAAACATGGCTAGAAAACAATGATCTTAAAATACCAGTTTTTTTCTAAAAGTATGCCAAAAATTAAAATCTAAATAAAAAATAACAAATCAAAGATAAAAAATACAAGAACAAAGAAACCTTTTTTAAAATTTTTCATATGCCTCATAAGCAACCTCTGCTCTTTTTCAAATTTTTTCCTATCTACAACCAGCGAAGTAAACATTTTAAATCAATAACTTGACCAGTATATAGTTGTTCATTGTAAGAAGTTCATCGATATAATAAGGATCAAAATGCTAAGAGTTATACATGTCTGACTTTGAATTCAGACTAATTCAAAAATTCTTTCGAGTAACATTTTCATGCAAAAAAAAAATCAAAAAACACAAATACAGATATAATCGCATTACATATATACATCAACTCTCCATACAAAGTTACCTTTTCTCTAGGATTACTAGGATGTTGCAAAATCAACGTAACATTTCACCTCACACAAGAAAGAGCTTAAAAAGTAAATTATTACTTCAAAACTCTTAGATATATGTAAACGTACAAAACTAAGCGAAGATTTAAAAGTTAAAAAAACCGCAAAGGAATCAAACAAAACACTCATTACTGTACAAAATTTTTTATTTCAAACCTACATTTGAAATTTCGAAATACACAAATGAACAGAAACTATCAATTAAAAATTGTCCCATTAAAAGAAAAAGAAGACCTGATAAATACAATCAGTTTAGCAGGACCATCGGGCAAATAACAAGTTAAATAAATGATATATTATATCCAGAAGATAAGATGCATTTATTGTGCCAGGAAGTTCAAAATACCTTCTTGCCATTCACAGTCAACTTAACAGCTGGTTTACTCAAAAATTATCAAACCTTCATCGTGTAATACGCCAATTGAATTTTCGGCAAAATACAAAACAAAGCCCGAAAGAGCAGATATCAAAATTTAAAGAAAGAATGTTACTCAGAAAGTTTCGAAATTTTAACAACATAACAATAATTGAAAACACCGGCATATTAGACTATCATTGCACAGACTCAAAATTGCCCTGCCTACCGCGTTACGATTTTTTTTTTCTTTACTATTCCATACATCATACTTCTTAAGTTGGAAAGGACAATTTGGATCAGAAAAAATCATTATATGTTTTTACACAAACGTTTTACTTCCCCAAAAGTAACAATATGGATTGAAGTACCTTTCGATGACTGTCTCACCTGTCAAATACATAAAATTTTTACGCATCAAAGACAAATTGCAGAGAAACAAAATTTTAGAGGACAAAATTTATAATTTGACCACATAATCTATTTCGTTACAAAAGGCCATGTATCACCATCCTCAGAAGGAAAATCAAAAACAATGGTCAATGTGGACGCATTTGCTCATTACGCAGCACTGCACCCTGACCCACACTGCAATGCTTGTTATGCATACACAAAGCTCTATGAACATTCGATAGCAAAACTCCGATCAACCGAAACCCTTGTTACATACAACGAAATAGAACGTATAAACTGAAAAGATCACATTCTGTCATTTACAGAACATAAAACACAAACCTAGAGTCTCACATGCTCCATGGACATATGGACCAGTTGAAGGTACGAGCCGTTCTTTACAAGAATACCGCCGATGTATAGTTAACGGAAATGATGAAAAGTATACTGAATGGTAAACAGACGTTAAGTTATTTTCGGTAACATTTGTATTATCACATTTCGAAAAAGTTTTTTGAACCAAAAACCAGGGAAATCAATAATGTTCAGGGCAAAATTATCAAAAAAATGCACAAGGACGTTGCCAACCAAGCGAAGACTCAGTTTGCTAGAACTTACCAATCTATGCTCATGATTAGGATTGTTTTCATCACCCACAAATCTTAAAATTAGCCTTCGGTATCCACACGGAATGGATTTAAAATAGAGATAGAAAAAAAACACATAGAGTTTTATCCAAAAATTGCAAAGAAATTAATGCAAAGACAAAACATTCAGTCTCAAGTAAAATCACTCCTCACACCAGATTCAGATCTCGAAAGAGGAGCATCTGTTACAATACAAAAAAGAAATTCACAAAAAACTTTAACCCATTAGAAAAAGACCAAATCAAATCATAAAAAAACTGCAAATTTTACAAACACATTATTTGAACAAAACAAAAAAAGAAAAAACACAACCCAGAAATACTCTCTTACCATTTTACCCAAAAGAATTTGCTATTCGCGAGCTATTATAATTATACTCTTTAACAGGATTACACATTGTTAAAACATCGCTAGAAAACAATGATTGTAAAATACAAGATATTTCAAACGAACTACCACAATCACCAAATAAAAAAACAAAAAGCATAACAGAACAACACTCTAGAAAACCCACAAGAAAACAAAAAAGAAATTGTAAATTACAAGATAAAAATGTGATACCCGAACCAGCAAGCAGAAAAATCTAACAACGTCAATTATCTCGACTCCGAAATCAACCAAGAAAGGATTAGAAAAATTTCGTCCACCAATCTAAGATATTAAAGAAAGTAGTGTTCCGACAACCGTCTAATTAACGAATTCACTACCTAAACTCCGAACAATTGATTTTCATCGCATGTTTAAAAAAACTTTAAAAACCATTTGTCAAAACTTTTAGTTCAACTTTCATTTTTTTATTTCTCAAAAACAATCATTCAAAAATCAACCAATTATATCACTTGGAATCATTTCGCTCTTCATTCAATACCACTGCTATCATCAGCTGACATAACGCCAATGTGAACAAGAACTATAGCTCTAAATCAGAGACCTTAAGGTCAAAAATAAGCAATACCTTTATATTTGAAAACACAAATAAAAATCATTTGGAAGTTTCAACCCCCTTCGATTAAACAATACAAAAATCAAATGTAATGATTACAATTAGACATCAAAAAACGCCAGACGAGAGTTATTAAACTAGCCAAAAAAATTCATAAAACTGCCTGCTTAAAGACAACCTACCTCACAAAAAGCGCCAATCATCCAGTCTATAAAAAAAGAGTTAGCAACCTTTTACCCAAAACTCCAGACTTCCCTTCACCATAACCTCTTCATATCCCATCCGCTTGTCAAAAATCAATAAACAATTCGACCTCACTCGAACTAAAGAAACTTTTGAAAGCAAAATCAATTTTCGAATGCTCACCTTAAGCTGAGTTATACAACTTTTTAAAACATTTCTTTTCAATTTATATCGATTTTACCAAGTATCCCAATTTTTCTACATGTTTTTACTAAGATACAATTTAGAATTCGAAATAATCATAATTATAGTTTTTTGTATACAATTTGTAGTCTTTCTTTCCCTACTCCGAACCTATATTTCTCTTTCTCTTACCATCAACAACTTACACAGGTACAATAATAAATATCTTTTTGTTTTAAATGATAAAAAAACTATTTGAAAAAAAAAGATCTTTCGATAATTTTTTATCGTTTTTTTAAAAGCTTCCGCATCCTTGTTAAGTTTCCGAGTTAGAGCGATTAGGATAAGGAGCTGGGGTTTGAGACTGAGATAGGATCTGAGTTTTGAACGGAGGGTTGAGAAGAGGTAGTGATTGTTGAAGAATTGATTGAGAAAGTGAAAATAAAAGACATGACAAACTAAGCATCATAAAAGTACCAGTCAATTAATTACTGACTAATCAATTAGTTTGTTATCACTAATTGACCTTGCCTGAGTTTAATCAGTTTTGACTATTTTAATCGAGTTGCAAGAAAGCTGCAGTCTCGATTGGGTTTTCCCAGAGTGCGTGGGGGGTGAGTGTGTTTGGGTTTGCGCTGCATCTGAATAGGTGACCCGTTTTGTGGGTTTCTGAGGTGCACTGTGGGCACGCTTCTGAAGTTATTTCGTATAGTCTGTACAGATATAATTGTAGGAATGAGGAGTAACCGCTCCGCAACTGGAGATCTGGTACTTCTCGGTAGTCGTAATTTGTCCTTGCTGAGTTTGGGGGCTGGTTCGTCGAGCGCTTTGTTGTTGTCCCGGTTGTCTAGGGCGTCTTTGACCTCGTTTGTATGCATTTTGTTCGAGGAGCCCTCTGTAGTCCTCTTCGGTTATGTGTGTTGGTGGCAATATGTCAATGTCCTTTTCTTCTTCTTCTTCTTCTTTTTCTTCTGAATATCACTCTTATTTCAATACCACTGCTATCATCAGCCGACATAACGCCAATGTGAACAAGAACCATAACTCTAAATCAGAGACCTTAAGGTCAAAAACAAGCAATACCTTTATATTTGACAACACAAATAAAATCATTTGTAAGTTTCAACCCCCTTCGATTAAACAATACAAAAACGAAATCTAATGATTACAATTAGACATCAAAAAACGCCAGACGAGAGTTATTAAACTAACCAAAAAAATTCACAAAACTGCCCAGCTTAAAGACAACCTACCTCACAAAAAGCGCCAATCATCCAGTATATAAAAAAAGAGTTAGCAACCTTTTACCCAAAACTCCAGACTTCCCTTCACCATAACCTCTTCACATCCCATCCGCTTGTCAAAAATCAATAAACAATTCGACCTCACTCGAACTAAAAAAAAACTCCGAAAGCAAAATCATTTTTCGAATGCTCACCTAAAGCTGAGTTATACAACTTTTTAAAACATTTCTTTTCAATTCATATCGATTTTACTAAGTATCCCAATTTTCTACATGTTTTTACTAAGAGACAATTTGGAATTTAAAATAATCATAATTATAGTTTTTTGTATACAATTTCTAGCCTTTCGTTCCCTACTCTGAACCTATATTTCTCTTTCTCTTACCATCGACAACTTACACAGGTACAATAATGAATATCTTTTTGTTTTAAATGATAAAAAAAACTATTTGAAAGAAAAAGATCTTTCGATAATTTTTTATCGTTTTTTTAAAAGCTTCCGCATCCTTGTTAAGTTTCTGAGTTAGAGCAATTAGGAAAAGGAGCTGGGGTTTGAGACAGAGATAGGATCTGAGTTTTGAACGGAGGGTTGAGAAGAGGTAGTGATTGTTGAATAATTAATTGAGAAAGTGAAATTAAAAGACATGACAAACTAAGCATCACAAAAGTACTAGTCAATTAATTACTGACTAATCAATTAGTTTGTAATCACTAGTTGACCTTGTCTGAGTTTAATCAGTTTTGACTATTTTAATCGAGTTGTAAGGAAGCTGCAGCCTCGATTGGGTTTTCCCAGAGTGCGTGGGGGGTGAGTGTGTTCGGGTTTGCGCTGCATCTGAATAGGTGACCCGTTGTATGGTTTGTGAGGTGCACTGTGGGCAAGCTTCTGAGGTTGTTTCGTGTAGTCTGTACCGATATATTTGTAGGAATGAGGAGTAACCGCTTCGCAACTGGAGATCTGGTACTTCTCGGTAGTTGTAATTCGTCCTTGCTGAGTTTAGGGGCTGGTTGTTGTTGTCCCGATTGTCTAGGGCGTCTTTGACCTCGTTTGTATGCACTTTTTTCGAGGAGCCTTCTGTATTCCTCTTCGGTTATGTGTGTTTGTGGCCCTATGTCATTGTCCTCTTCTTCTTCTTCTTCTTCTTCTTCTTCTTCTTCTGAATCAGATGTTTCTAGGAGTGCAGTGACGTACCTCTCACGCCTACTGAAAAGAGTTTCCTTCATATGTCTGGGCGGTTCCGGTCAATCTAGCAACCTGGTGCCAGGGTGTTTTTATTTCTTAATTTTTCGATTCAAAAAAAAGAATTTCACAAAAAAAATACAACCCATTAGAAAAGGACCAAATCAAATCATAAAAAAACTGCAAACGGTACAAACACATTATTTGAACAAAACTAAAAAAACACAACCCAAAAATAATCTTTTACCATATTACCCAAAAGAATTCGCTATTCGCGAGCTAACAAAATTATGCTCATTAACAGGATTACACATTGTTGAAACATCGCCAGAAAACAATGATCCTAAGATACCAGATATTTCAAACGAACTACCACAATCACCAAGTAAAATAACAAAAAGCATAACAGAACAACACTCTAGAAAACCCATTAAAAACAAAAAAAATCGTAAATAACAAGATAAAATTGTGATACCCGAAACAGCACGCAGAAAAATCTAACAACGTCAATTATCTCGACGCCGAAATCAACCAAGAAAGGATTATAAAAATTTCGTCCCCCAATCTAAGATATTAAAGAAAGTAGAGTTCCGACAACCGTCTAATTACCTAATTCTCTCCTTTAACTCCCGAAACTTTTCCGAACAATTGATTTTCATCGCATGTTTAAAAAATCATTAAAAGCCATTTTTCAAAACTTTATGATCAGCTTTCATTATTTCTATTTCTCAGCAACAATCATTCAAAAATCAACCAAATATATCACTTGGAATCATCTCATTCTTCATTCAATACCACTGCTAACATCAGCCGACATAACTCTAATGTAAACTAGAATTATAACTCTAAATCAGAGACCTTAAGGTCAAAAATAAGTAATACCTTTATATTTGACAACATAAAGAAAAAAACATTTGGAAGTTTCAATCGCCTTCGATATTGATCAACGCAAAAGTCAACTCTAATGATTACAATTACACGCTAAAAAACGCCAGAAGGGAATTAATAAACTAGCCAAAATTTAAAAAAAAGTCATAAAACTGCCCAGCTTGAAGACAACCTACCACACAAAAAGCGCAAACCATCCAGTCTATAAGAACAAGAAATAGCAACCTTTTACCCAAAACCTCAGACTTCCCTTTACCATAACCTCTCCATACCCCATTGCTTGTCAAAAAAATTACAACCCATTAGAAAAGGACCATATCAAATAATGAAAAAACTGCTAACGTTACAAACAAATTAATTGTTCAAAACAAAAAAAAACACAACCCAGAAATAATCTTTTACCATATTACCCGAAAGAATACACTATTCGCGAGCTAACAGAATTATACTGTTTTACAGGATTACACATTGTTGAAACATCGCTAGAAAACAATGATTCTAAAATACCAGATATTGCAAACGAACCTACCACAATCACCAAATAAAAAAACTAAAAGCAAAACGGAAAAACACTCTAGAAAACCCATTAGAAAACAAAAAATAAATAGTAAATTACAAGATAAAATTATGATACCCAAAAGAGCAGAAAAACCTAACAACGTCAATTATCTTGACTCCGAAATCAACCAAAAAAGGACTATAAAAAAGTCATCCCCCAATCTAAGATATTAAAGAAAGTAGAGTTTCGACAACCGTCTAATTAACTAATTGTCTCCCTTAACTCCCGAAACTTTTCCGAACAATTGATTTTCATCGCAGTTTAAAAAAACATTTTAAAAGCCATTTTTCAAAACTTTATGTTCAACTTTTATTATTTCTATTTCTCAGGAACAATCATTCGAAAATCAACCAATTATATCACTTAGAATCATCTCACTCTTCATTCAATACCATTGCTATCATCAGCCGACATAACTCTAATGTGAACTAGAACTATAACTCTAAATCAGAGACCTTCAGGTCAAAAATAAGCTTTACCTTTATATTTGACAACACAAATAAAAAACATTTGAAAGTTTCAACTCCCTTCGATTGAACAATACAAAAATCAAATCTAATGATTACAAATAGACACCAAAAAATGCCAGACGAGAGTTATTAAACTAACCAAAAAAAGTCATAAAACTTCCCAGCTTGAAGACAACATACCTCACAAAAAGAACCAGTCATCCAGTCTATAAGAACAAGAAATAGCAACCTTTTATCCAAAACTTCAGACTTCCCTTTACCATAACCTCTTGATACCCCATTTCTTGTCAAAAAAATTATAACCCATTAGAAAAGGACCATATCAAATAATGAAAAAATTGCAAACGTTACACACAAATTAATTGACCAAAACAAAAAAGAAAAAACACAACCCAGAAAAATCTTTTACCATATTACCCAAAAGAATACGCTATTCGCGAGCTAACAGAATTATACTGTTTAACAGGATTACACATTGTTGAAAAATCGCTAGAAAACGATGATTGTAAAATACCAAATACTTCAAACGAACTACCACAATCACCAAATAAAAAAACAAAAAGCATAACAGAACAACACTCTAGAAAACCCACAAAAAAACAAAAAAGAAATTGTAAATAACAAGATAATAATGTGATACCCAAAACAGCAAGCAGAAAAATCTAACAACGTCAGTTATCTCGACTCCGAAATCAACCAAGAAAGGATTATAAAAATTTCGTCCACCAATCTGAGATATTAAAGAAAGTAGAGTTCCGACAACCGTCTAATTACCTAATTCTCTCTCTTAACTCCCGAAACTTTTCCGAACAATTGATTTTCATCGCATGTTTAAAAAAAATTTAAAAGCCATTTTTCAAATTTTTATGATCAACTTTCATTATTTCTGTTTCTCAAAAACAATCATTCAAAAATCAACAAATTATTTCACTTGGAATCATCTCACTCTTTATTCAATACCATTGCTATCATCAGCCAAAAAAACTCCAATGTGAACTAGAACTATAACTCTAAATCAGAGACCTTCAGGTCAAAAATAAGCTTTACCTTTATATTTGACAACACAAATAAAAAACATTTGAAAGTTTCAACCCCCTTCGATTGAACAATACAAAAATCAAATCTAATGATTACAAATAGACACCAAAAAATGACAGACGAGAGTTATTAAACTAACCAAAAAAAGTCATAAAACTTCCCAGCTTGAAGACAACATACCTCACAAAAAGAACCAGTCATCCAGTCTATAAGAACAAGAAATAGCAACCTTTTATCCAAAACTTCAGACTTCCCTTTACCATAACCTCTTGATACCCCATTTCTTGTCAAAAAAATTATAACCCATTAGAAAAAGACCATATCAAATAATGAAAAAATTGCAAACGTTACACACAAATTAATTGACCAAAACAAAAAAGAAAAAACACAACCCAGAAAAATCTTTTACCATATTACCCAAAAGAATACGCTATTCGCGAGCTAACAGAATTATACTGTTTAACAGGATTACACATTGTTGAAAAATCGCTAGAAAACGATGATTGTAAAATAACAGATATTTCAAACGAACTACCACAATCACCAAATAAAAAAACAAAAAGCATAACAGAACAACACTCTAGAAAACCCACAAAAAAAACAAAAAAGAAATTGTAAATAACAAGATAATAATGTGATACCCGAAACAGCAAGCAGAAAAATCTAACAACGTCAGTTATCTCGACTCCGAAATCAACCAAGAAAGGATTATAAAAATTTCGTCCACCAATCTGAGATATTAAAGAAAGTAGAGTTCCGACAACCGTCTAATTACCTAATTCTCTCTCTTAACTCCCGAAACTTTTCCAAACAATTGATTTTCATCGCATGTTTAAAAAAAATTTAAAAGCCATTTTTCAAATTTTTATGATCAACTTTCATTATTTCTGTTTCTCAAAAACAATCATTCAAAAATCAACAAATTATTTCACTTGGAATCATCTCACTCTTTATTCAATACCATTGCTATCATCAGCCAAAAAAACTCCAATGTGAACTAGAACTATAACTCTTAATCAGAGACCTTCAGGTCAAAAATAAGCTTTACCTTTATATTTGACAACACAAATAAAAAACATTTGAAAGTTTCAACCCCCTTCGATTGAACAATACAAAAATCAAATCTAATGATTACAAATAGACACCAAAAAATGCCAGACGAGAATTTTTAAGCAAGCCAAAAAAAAAATCATAAGAATGCCCAGCTTAAGACAACCTACCTCACAAAAAGCGCCAATCATTCAGTCTATAAAAAAAGAGTTAGCCACCTTTTTCCAAAACTCCAGACTTCCCTTCACTATAACCACTTCAAACCCCATCCGCTTGTCAAAAATCATTAAACAATTCGACCTCACTCGAACTATATCAAACTTCCGAAAGCAAAACCATTTTTCGAATGCTCACCTTAAGCTGAATCATAAAACTTTTTAAAACAATTTTTTTTCAATTTATATCGATTTTACCAAGTATCCCAACTTTCTACATGTTTTTACCAAGAGACATTTTAGAATTTAAAATAATCATAATTATGGTTTTTTGTATACAATTTGTAGTCTTTTATTCCCTACTCCGAACATATATTTGTCTTTCTCTTACCATCGACAACTTAACCAGGTACAATACTAAATATCTTTTTGTTTTAAATGATAAAAAAACTAACTGAAAAAAAATAGCCTTCGAGAGTTTTTTATCGTATTTTTAAAAGCTTCCGCAACCTTGTTAAGATTCCGAGTTAGAACAATTAGGATAAGGAGCATGGGGTTTGAGACTGAGATAGGATCTGAGTTTTGAACGGAGGGTTGAGATGTGATAGTGATTGTTGAAGAATGAATTGAGAAAGTGAAAATAAAAGACATGACAAACTAAGCATCATAAAAGTACCAGTCAATTAATTACTGACTAATCAATTAGTTTGTAATCACTAATTGACCTTGTCTGAGTTTAATCAGTTTTGACTATTTTAATCGAGTTGTAAGAAAGCTGCAGCCTCGATTGGGTTTTCCCAGAGTGCGTGGGGGGTGAGTGTGTTCGGGTTTGCGCTGCATCTGAATAGGTGACCCGTTGTGTGGGTTTCTGAGGTGCACTGTGG